GGCAGAAAGATTTATGAATGTTTTTTTTAAAAAAATAACTTGTTTGTTCTGCTTATTATTTTTTTAAGAGCAAGTGCCTCCATTGTAATCAGTCTACATGCAGTTCATGAACTTTGGGTTTGTAAATATAGAATTATATTTATCCTTAAAAAGACTTTTCTGTTCCAAAAGGCATGAATGAATGTAACCCGTTTTCTTCCATATTTTAGATATGGAGCCATAAACCTTTGCCCTCAGTGTAAATATCTTCAAATTTGGCTCTCTTATAAGAGCTGCTGGTTCAAAAAGAAGAATGGATCCCTTCCTCAAAAAGCAAAAGCAAGTTATTTGCTCCAAAATACTATTTTCGCCTCCATTACTTGGCCACTAGATGGCAAGCAAAGTGTTTGGAAACTCTTTCAGATCAGCAACTGGTGAAAAACAGCTGGGATGTGGGAAAATTCCTTTGACTTTTTTTTTTTTTACTTTGTTCTTGAAAAGGGGGGGGGGATTAGACATAAATAATATCCCAGCGAAGCAACAACAGCAATTTAAAAAAATAGCTTTGTAAAGTCATCATCATGCTATTTGTACACAAGTAGGCATGTATTTTTTTTCTGCAATCCCGTGCCAGTTTCCCTACATATGGCTTATATCAGTAAAATATATAAAACCAAAACTTGATAAAACAAATAATGCAAATTTGGATCAAAGCAGGAGAACATTACGTAAACATGGAAAACAGTCCGATCAAAATCCAACTAGGAAATGGATACCAAAACCAAATAAAGAAGAAAGGACCTGCAATGGGAGATTGTCCTTCAGATATTGCCAATGTTTACAGATAGATGGTACTGACACAAGGATTTCCTTTGATCAGTTGGACTAACGAGGTATTGAAAAGCCTCTTTGAAATGATACACACGCCTCCTTTCCCAGGATGGCTGGGATTTAAAGTTGGTCTAATTCTTCTATAAGAAAACTGTCCTCAGAGCATCTTGATACTATCTTCTCATCCACTGATTTTGCCAATCATCACAGCCTGCTGCTGAAGCTGGCTGTTTCAAGATGGGCATGGCCCTGTATTCAGCAAGGTGTTCAACAAATTCAAGGCATCTTTTGAAGAATTGCAGTCTTTGCAGGTTAAAGAAATTTATTATTTTCTGAAATAAGGAAGCCATCCCGTCTTTCCTCCTTGGCTTGACTTCTTGAGATTAAAGTCTTTTTTTAGTCTGCTTACAGAGGGAGAATACTTCTTGCATTGTTTCTCAGAGGTAAATGTTTAGCACCCTCTGCAACTATTGCTAGATACTCTCCTTCTGTTCCCGTTGTCTTTCTCATACATTGCATTTATTCACCTCTGTCTGAATTGTATTATCCAAATTGAGTAAGCTAACTCTTCCTTACTTGATATTTGAAATGGTATTGCTTAGACAGGTTCAATGGTCTTGAGATTGGACTGCAATTGCCCTTCAGACTGTCATCATGCCTACCTTTCTTTCCAACATTACTGCCCCCACCCCCATAATGTCCATAGAGTTTTAAGGGAAAGCAGCACCAATCTTTCCCAACTTGATAGCCTTCAGATGTGTTGCATTTCAAATCCCACATGTCCAATACAGTTAAGGAGCTGGAAGCCCAACACATCTGGAAGTGGTATGAATAGGGCACCTTGAAGTAGGATGTTTCCCTGTTATATGTCAGCAGGGCCAAACTTAGCACTCTTGGTGTGTGTGTGCTAAAGGAGTCTAATGAATCTCCACATCTCACTCCATAAATAAAGGACCTCTTTACAATCTCTTAAGAACCTTAAGCTTCTTACTGTTGACTCTTATTGCTCCTTTCTGTGCTCTTCTTCACCTGTGACCCTAGAGTAGGTCATATATATTCCCTTCTTCAGCAGAGATCCAGCCACACTTTCTTAACGTCATGAAAATTTTAATTCATGCCATAACCACAATTTTTGACACACATCCCGTCTTTCCTTGAGAGTGTTATATAAAAAAGCAGGTGAGTCGGTGGGTACAGCAGCTAGGAACATAAAATCTGAAATTTTGTTTTTTTAGAAGCGGGTTACCTTGGATATCTGGACCTGCTGAGACATCTGTATATGTTTCCAAAAGACCAGGAAGGAGATGTTCAAATGTGCTTTTTAGTGTCAATGTCTAAAAGACACTAATGTATATCCCACATGTATATTACACAAGGACACTTTCAACAGAAGGTGAAATTTGGTTGAAATACAACTAGTATGATTGCCTAGTCATAGTTTTCATTAAGACTTGCAGTGAATCAGAATCCATCGGCAACTGGGTGGGTGTATGTGGGGAGTTAGGATGTGATGGCCATGGTCAGATTTGTTTCTTGTGAAAAGAAACAGAAGCATGTATTTCAGTTCACTTTTTTTTTTTTACAAATAGAAATCTGAATTTAGTCCAAAAGACAGAACGAAGCCCAAATCAGGAATTTGAATACAGGTTTATCAAAAAATTATCCACCCGCTGAGTGTTAGTTGCATCATCAATTCTACTGGAATGCTTTCAGACAATGGTCCTCATTTGGTATATTGGATTGAATGTTGGGAAAATACACACTTTAAAATCTTCTTAATTTAGCTGAAAAAAATGAATAGGCTTTTTAACATATAGGATTAGGCTGGGGAGGGAGCAGGGGCACAGGAGACAGAGAGAAATAAATCTTAATCTGTTCCTAAGGAGTTATTTTCTGGCTGAGGACTGCACTTAATATTTTTTAGACAGCTGACACCCACAGAAGATGGGGTCACATCATACATAAGAGGGGGGCTAATTTTAGATCTCTTTCATAAAGATATGCCTTAAAAGTGTTAGGTACCCCAAAATGCTGGCCAAGTCTGTCCTCGGCCATCTCAGTGAGGAGATTTCCACAAAGGGTTAGGGTCACATGCTGTTCAGAAGAGGCAAAACAACTTGCTGTTGTTAAAATCTGCTGGGAAATGGCTATGCTTTCCTACTGCTCCTAGTTGTCCTTTGGAAAGATGGGATGATTTCAGGAGCCCACTCAATAAAATGAGGTGGTGGCATGTCTTCCCAACATAGCAGGGCTGGCTTACTATACATAGCCACAGAAAGAGCTCCTATTGTGTCATATCACAGTATTTATCAAGCTCTTTTCTTACTCACAGTTTATATTCATACCAGACCCTACAGGCAATACCAGTGTACTCCTCGCCCTGGCTCCATTTTGTCTCCAGCCTAGGATTTGAACTGGTCAATCCTTCTTGTTCCAGAACAACTAATTGTTCCTGCTTAAACTGATTGGGTTCTATCAGGCAGAGTGAAAAATCATAGTTGTTTCCTATCCCTCTGGGGAAGGGAAAGCCAGATCCATGGTATGTCTTGGAGAAATGGTGAGCTTTCTCCCATAGATCACTGGAAGTATGTGTGTACAAGTCACATTGATTGGCCATTGGTCTGAAAGCAGTGGCACTCAACAATGATGACCAGGCATTTGGTTAGCATGGGGGATCACAGGATGGAAACCACCATCCAGTCAATCTAATTTATGGTGGCCATTCTTTTTATTGAGTTGGGGCCACCTATCCTTATCAAAACTATAGCAGCACCACATTTGCTCTTCTCATTGCTGATCCCTATTTCTGCCTTGACTGCCTCAGTTCTCAGTGCCTTTGTAGTCAATTAACTTCCTCCTAAGGTAGCAAATGACAAAGCCTAACGAACACTGAGACCATCTTTGGGCAGTGTTGGAATAAAGAAGAAAAAGCTATTTAATACCAGTGTAGGTAGCTCAGGACAGCTTAAGTCCCTCTCACTTATGGACTAGGAAGGAGATGAAGGAAACACCACAGGAGACAAGAAACCTCACGTTTGTGCTGTGGTTAGGGGCAGGGGGACTCCGAGGCTTCCGATGAATGGTGCTTTAAACTACTAGTAAGAAAAGATATTCAGGATACAAGGTTCCAAGAGGGCAGGCTGGAAAGAGGATAGAGCTAGTGAGGAAACAACATTCCCCCCCCTCCCTCCCAAGCCTATGTTCTTTTCTTTTTGATTCTGGATTCCGAAGTGCACTGCTACTGCAGACAGGGCCTGGGATAAAGGTAAATCGGACAGAGCAAAAGTTTCCAGCTAGTCCAACATCACCTTTTCAATTGGGCTGGCATATGACTGGAAGGCTCATAGGTTGCCAGGGCGGTAAGGTGCTTCGCCTGCACCACCGTGGCCCTCTCTTGCTTTTGGAAAGATAGACTGCCTCTGAGCATGGCCGATCGGCCGGGCAAACAGCCCTACCGAGAGCTCTCTCCCCTTCCAACCGCCCAGCCTCGGTTTCGCTTGTTAGCCGCCCGCTCCTGCGCACCAAAAGACGGGCGCCTTGGCTACGCTCGCTTTGTCCCCGAATTGCTGCGGTCGCCTTTGGCTGCCCAGGTGGAGCTCCACACCCGCCACGGGACTGGAGGGAGGCGAGGGCCGGCAGCCAGCTGGCTTCTCGATTGTCCTTCGCCTCCAGCAAGTGCAAGCAGCAGCCAGCACCTCCCTCCACTGGTCGATGATGCGCGCTCTCTCTCGCGGTGGGGAGGATGTTGAGAGAAGACAAGAGGGAGGCTAAGGCGGAGAAGGCGCTGAAGCGGCGGCGGCGGGGCAAGGCTGGTGGCCCCATTCGGGTTGTCCTTGGCCGAGCAAGCCCTCGCCCTTTCCTCTTCCATGCCCTCGCCAGGAACCTGTCCGTCGTCGCCGGGAGGAGGGGGCACTTTTGCGCTGACCGGAGGCTGCGCTGGATCAAGAAAAGGGGAGAAAGGCAGAAAAGCAGTCTACTGGGATCCGGGAGCCATCCTTGAGTGCCAAAGCGCAGGCTGGGGTTTCAGGGTTGCTCTTTGGTCAAGAGACGGGAAGAATAGGCTGAAAAGCGGGGAGGCGACCGGGGGGGGGGGAAAGCAGGCTTGTTTGCTGACGATCGGAAGTTACTGACAATCAAGCAGGACCTTCACCGCTCCAGAGATCGAGCGTGAGAGAGGGAGTGAGACACACGCACACCCGCGCGCGCACACACACACGCACACACATCCATCCCCAGACCAGGAGGAGGAGAGAGTGTGGGGGGGGGGGAGAAGAGGAGAGCTGATGTCTAAGGGAGTCGCTCGGTGGAGGCAAAGCAGGCAGGCTTTCAACTTCTCCTCACTGCTGCTCAGCGCCAAGCGAGATCGCTGGAAAGCGGCGGAGCTTCACGGAGCAGGACCCTTCCCATGGCCAGCCTGCGGCGGGGGATTTGACGCCGTTCACTTGAAGCCACTTGACCATCCCCCGCCGCTCCACCTCACTCAGCGATGTCTTATTCCCCGCTCTCCGCCTGCACTTGCCTGTAAGGATAGTGGCATTTCTCTCTCCCCCCCCCCCCCGCCCCGGCGCGCGCGTGTGTCTGCCTGCCTTTGCTTTCTCAAAGTCTCGGTTTGGGTGGTTTGGATCTGTTGCGGCGGCTGAGGGACTCGGGGGGAGGGGGGGCGCGGCGGCGTTTTTCCCCTGAGGAAAACAAAGCGGTCCGGCTCTGACGGTATTAGTCGCGACCGTTATAAACAAAGCCACCCCGCGTGGGTCTGGTTGTGTTGTGTTGCCGAAGTTTAACCGTTTCACCACGTCCTCTGATCTTTTTGTTTTTCTCCTTTTCTCCCCAGATGGTTACATTACCTGCTGCTCTGCATCCAAGTCCAGGTAAGCGCCTTGTTTCCCCCCCCCCTCCGACTCGCCTCCCCCCCCTCCATCCTTTTCAGTTCCTCTGAGGCGCCGGCGTGGATTTGGGGCATAACCGAGGAGTCACCTTTAATAGAGAGCTACCGCTCCCATGTAAAGTCCTGGGCGTTTTGTATAGTCTGGTTTATTCTACCTCTCTGCAGTAAAATCGGCGGAGAATCACTTGCTCTGCAAAGCGGCCGCCTCTCGCTCCCCGAACTTTTCAGTTCGGGGAGCGCTGGAGCCGCTGTGTAAATCAAAGCACCATCTGCATTCTCCCTCCCCCCCCCGGAGCCCCTACGCCCGGCCACCCTTTCCCATCCGGCTGCCTCGTGGACGGCGGGGACCTCTGCAGTAGCTAGTGCTGCTTCTGTGGAGGGCCTGAGACTGGCTAAAGAGATGAGAGGGAAAAGTTTAGCCGCCGCAAACGTCGGAGAAGGTGCGGGCGGGAGCTTCTGTTCTGGGAGCCCCGGAGGGAGGGAGGGAGGGGGCGTGCGTGCCGTTGCAGCTTTGGTCAGCTCACCCTTGAAAGTGCCGGAGTTTCTTCCTCAGAGTGGGGCGGCCGGAGGGAAGGGGAGGGGGGGGGGCAACCGACAATGGAATCGAATGGGCCAAGTTCTTCCCCCCCCCATCTGTTTCTTAAGAGAAGCCAGCCCGGAAGCGAGAGGCTGGGTGGGAGATAAGGTTGGAAAAGCAACTTCGAAACGCCGTGTTACTCTCCGCCTATACCTGTCCTTCGATGTTCGACCCAGGGGAGGAACGTGGCGTGAAGAGAATTAAAAAAAAAAGAAAGAAAAAGGGGGGGGGGGGGAAAGGGCGGTGGTGGGTACTGTAGTTTATTGGAGTCAATCCCATTCTTTTCCCGGGTATTCTAATGAGACGGTTTTGGCTGTGCTTTTTTTTTGTTAAGTGTGCGCGCGTGTCTCTCTGTGTGCGTGTGTGTGTGTGTGTGGGGGGGGGGAGAATTCCGGTCGGCGGCTAGAAACGGAGGTAAACGCAACACGTGCGAGCGGCGCCGCCCCGCCCCGCGAGCCAGAGTTGGCAGAGCAGGTGCCTGGCGCCCCTGGAGGCCTCCCCGGACAGCCTGACGTCGCTGGTTCCCGCGCGCCGCCGGAGGAGCCGCGGCGCGGCGGGAGCGGAAGGCTCTGGCAACCGCACCTTTCCAGTCCGCTCGCTCCGACCTCCTTGCTTCGCGCCCAGAATGCACCTGTTTGCCAGGCTTTCCGTTTGCGGTCTTTTTCGCGTTGGGAAGGAGCTTGCTGCGGTCCACACACGGCTTCAGCCCCGGGGAAATCTGAGTCATCTCGCGAGCCGGAAAGCGGCGCCGTAGCCTTACCTTCCTGGGGGGGGGGGAAACCCAACACGATCCAGTCTTGAGTAGGAAAAAACAACACGGGGACGGGAACTCTGAAGGAAAACGGAGATCGAGAGAGAGAGAAGCGGCAGAAAGTGACTCCGAGCTTGGCTGGAAACGAGTTTGCGGTTGGGAGGAAAGGCGTTTGCGCGCGGCAAATGGGCGCACTTGGCAGGGGGAAGAAAAAAAAAAAAGGAGCCCCCCATTCCCCCCTTCTTTTCTTTTTAATTTGTGCGGTAACTGAAGTTAATCCTCCCTCTTCTTTCGCCAACTTTATCAAACCCCTCCCCCTCTTGTCCACTCGTTGCTTTTAAGTGAATCAGAAGGCTTTTGGCTGGTTGCCTGCAAAGCACTTGCTAAAATCTGATCTCTTACTTCAGCAGGAGCCTTAAAAAACTTGGGAAGTTATTGGCATTTGTACAGTTGGAGCTCTCAAGCTTTCCAAAGTAATAAAGTAATGAAGGGGGGGGGAGGGGGAGGAGAGAGAAACTCTCTGTACTTTCCTACTATTAGAACCATACTTTATTTAGTGCTGATTATGCAACATTCCGTGCACAGGAGATCTGACAGGCGGATTTACTCTGAAGAAATGAAAAGTCAGCCTCCGTGTCTTTTCCTTCTCTCTTCTCTTCCTCAGAGGGCAGAGCGCTGAAAGAGAATTTGGGGCGGGGGGGGGAAGGAGGAGGGAAGAGGCCCAAAGTCAAATTCTCATTGGATTTCAGTATCTCTCCCTGGTGGGACAGGCGGGCTTTGAACCAATCCCTGCCTCTCAGTTCTATCTACTTCGCAGGGCTACTGGGAAGAAACATTTGGCCCTGTGGGGAAGCTTAACAGACAAACAGAATAACAAAGTTAGAAGGACCTGCAGAGATCGTCTAGCCCAACCCCCTGCTCAAGCAGAAAACCCTATACCGGGTAGGCAACCTTGGCTCTTTTATGACTCGTAGACTTCAACTCCCAGAATTCCTGAGTCAGCCATGCTGAGGGGCACAGGTTTCCAAGCTGAGCCATGCTGGCTCAGGAGTTCTGGGAGTTGAAGTCCACGAGTCATAAAAGAGCCAAGGTTGCCTACCCTGACTAGACCATTTCAGGCAAATGGTTTTCCAATCTCTTCTTTAAAAACCTCCAGTATTGGAGCATTCACAACTTCTGGAGGCAAGCTTACTTTCATGCCTAAGTAGTAAAGTAAGTCAACTTTACTTTTTGGAAGTGCTCAAGTCTCTCAAGATTCTTCTGAAAATTGAATCTTTCAAGTGTTGGCAATTCTCCCCAGCTTGGTGTCATCTGCAAATTTGATGAGTTCCCTTTCTATCCCCTTAGGTAGTTCATTTGTGAAGATCAGTCAGAATATAGCTAGAAGGAACTTTGGAGGTCTTCGAGGCCAAATCCCTCTGCTCAAGCAGGAGACCTTATACCAGTGGTTCTCAACCTTTCTAATACCGCGACCCCATAATACAGTTCCCCATGTTGTGGTGACCCCCAACCACTTATACATCACTGGGTGCCAGGGGCATAGCCAAAGAAAAGGGGGGGGGAAATGGCAGACAGCCTTGTTTGGTGACCCCCGTGAAATGGTTGTTCGACCCCAAATGGGGTCCCGACCCACAGGTTGAGAACCACTGCCTTATACAATTTGAGACAAGTCGCTGTCCAGTCTCTTCTTAAAAACCTCCAGTGTTAGATCACCTACAACTTCTGGAGACAGGTTGTTCCACTGATTAATTGTTTTAAATGTTTAGGAAATTTCTCCTTAGTTCTAGGTTCCTTCTCTCCTTGATTAGTTTCCATCCGTTGCTTCTTGTCCTGCTTTGGAGAATAGCTTGACTCCCTCTTCTTTGTGGCAACCCCTGAGATACTGGAACACTGCTATCATGTCACCCTTTGTCCTTCTTTCCATTAAATTAGACATACCCAACTACTGCAACTGTTTTTATACTGCCATTGATTCCTGCAGAATAGGAGGGATGTAAATATAGCAAAGAACCAGGTGTTGCAAGAAACAAAAATGAAAAGAAAGCTAGGGTCCCAGAGCAGCAATGACAGTGACCAAGGTTCCAGTCTGAGTCTGCTCTGAACTTCAGCCTTAGGTTAAAGAGGTGGGGGTGGGGGAGAGAGGAGAGGATAAGTCAGGATCCTTGTACAAAAGTTGATTGCTGAGGCAGGACCTGGGAGGTCTAATCCTTGAGAAGGATTGTATTGTTAGATTGTATTAATCAAACAAAGAAATATGTGAGAAATGGGCTCCCCTCATTCGTCTTCTGATCCTCTTGTCTTTCAATAGAGGCCTACTATAGTAGGTATTCTTATACAAAGCCAAAACATTTTATTAGTTTTACTCAGAAGCTCTGAAAGTCAGTGTGGACAGTTTTAAATGAGATGATGAAAGCACAGCAACATGGCTGCTAGTTGTGTTTTTGTTTTTCAATTACCCATTTTGCAGTCTGGCCTTTCTGGATTGATTTGAGTTGGATGACTAAATTGGAGGTTGAAGGAGAGATTGGGGTGAATTTTGAATATAATGATTATCTTGGGAAAAGGTTAGCATTTGGTGGCCTGACATTAAGACTATATTTAGCGTAGATTTATGTCAGGGACCTTAAATTGTTGCTAAAAGGCCTAAGTTGTATTAATATAGACAATTTGAGATTGTTTTCCAAAGTGTCTTAACATCAGTTTTAAATTGGTCCCCATCAAGTCATAGGAATTATGCCAGCAAAGCAAACGTGTTTAAGAAAAGGATTTTATTCACTGACTGAATGTTATTTGATAGTTTAGTGATCAGCAGTTAACCTAATTTCTCCAGCTTCTTAAATGTTTTTGCATCCATTAATTGATTCACTCTTGATTGTAGCTAGGATATTTCTACTTACATTGAAACACAGTTCAGATAACTCCAACATTTTAAAATGGATCCAATCCACAGTAATTTCCCCACTGCCCTCCATCCATATCACTTGAAACAAATGGAAAATCTAAATATAGTGGATCAACCCTAGTAATTGCTGCCTAAGCTACCCAGAAAAAAATTGAGAAATTTAGTTGATGGAGATGATGATGATGATGATTTTCTGAATGGAAAGTAGTCTGGCTTGATATGTCCAAGCATCAGTATACTTGGGAATTACAGTAAATGTTGGGAGGAAAGGGAAGAGAACAGTTTCATAATAGGAAGGAAAAAAAAAGGGAAGTGAGATAGCTAGGCCAAATTAAACTATGTCTCCTTGTAAAGAACGGGGATGGTGTCCTTCTCACATGAACGTTGTGGTAATCTACTATTGTCTTTGTAACAGCAGCCAGCCCAATGTTTGTAGAAGTTTCCAAAGACAGGCAGGATAGATATTGGCTGTATTCTTATATTATACTAGGCTGTCATATGTTTGTTTAGTTTTAGCTTGACACATTGCATGAAACCAACTATTCAAGTTTGTAAAGCATGGTTTCAGTTTTGTGAACCCAACTAATTATGGTTTATTTATTGGCTGGCTTATGCAAACAGGTGTGCAGATAGCACCATCTGTGATACCTGTCAGTAGCTGGCAGCTCTTAAACTATGACATCATCATGCACTAATCTTAAAATGCCACTGAGATTACATCTCCATTATCTGAAATGGCTCTCTGAATGATTT